TGAAGGTGAGCTCCGTGGCATGATGGAAGTGCGACATTGACGTAACGTCGTAACAGACTTCATCTCAGTATTCGAGAGCTTCTTGTACCGAGATGACATATGTGCAGATGGACAGACGAAACATTAGGATTATTCCGCTTGTGGAGGTTATGTCGTAGCAGCTGAACCTATTAATTCGTCGATGGAAAATATCATTACTTTTGCTTTCCATAATTATTTATAGCTGGCTGTAGCTTTGCGAGGATTATTCCTGTACAATACAGACCTTCAAGGAATGTCTTAAGGATGTCTAAATATGTTTCTACATCCACATCACATAGATATGTTCTTTAAACATCTTAAAGATTGTGTGTTCCTTGTAATGTAACTAATGTACGTTAGTTGTAATGGAAAGTAAGCTGCTATCATTGCTATTAGATATTTGTTAGAACGGAAGATAAAGAAAAAAGAAAAAAGAAAGGAGCATTCCATAAAAACTCAGTTGTGTGTATGGCTATATATTTGTTAACATCAAGTATATATATTTTTTCTGCTTGTAGATCTTGGACATCTGCATGGGAACCAAAGGTAACACGCATCTGGGCAAGAAGCAATTCTATGCAGCATTGAAACTTATTGCGGTCCATCAGGCTGGTCTGGAAGTCTCTAGAGATATGATAACTGCATCTTTGGATGTTATTACTTTGCCAAGATTTACGTGGCCAACCTCCGGTGATGAGGAAGGCAGAAGAAGTCCAGACATAACTAGAGGAGCAAAGAGTAGACATCACGCCCCTGAGAGCACTACCGAAAGTGAAAGCGAAGCAGAATCCCCACGTGAGACTGGTGGTAGCACAGATTCTCCTACACCGACAAACAGTGTGACTCAAGAGAGAAATGATGGTATGCTGGGTGGCGAGACAATTTTGGATTCTGTTTCCGGAGGTTGGCAAGGCTTATTAGTTTCTGAAGAGCAGAGACAACTGTTAGGTACTGAAGAGGAGAGCTCGGAGCGTCACAGCAGCGACGAAGGTGACGGGGAAGGTGATGGCTCTGGTTTTCCACCGGAAGAAGTATGGATTATCAGCGACGAGCAGCGTGATTATTACGCTGCGCAATTCGCGCAGCTGCAACCTGATCCGGAGGGTCTTCTAGCCGGGCCTGTAGCCAGAACGTTTTTCGAAAAATCACGGCTTCCTGTTTCGGAGTTACGACGTATTTGGCAGCTCGCGGATGTCACGAGGGACGGGGCGCTCAGTTTACAAGAATTCTACGTGGCTATGCATCTCGTCGTACTGAGGAGAAACCATGTGCCTCTGCCCGACGTTTTACCTCCGTCCTTGTCGATCCTGTTAGTCATGCAAACAGCAACAACTGCCGTGCCGCAAATCCCATCGGCGACAACTGCTCAAAAATCACCACCGAACTCCGCGAACGCTCGCGAAAAGAATAGAGAATGGACAAAGTTCGTGGACTCGCCAACTGGAGCGAGCAGCTCCTCAGTCACTAGTCCAGGATTGCAGCTGGTGAATTTCGATTTCCAAAAGTCGGCTGTTGAACGCGACCCGAAGATTTTGCATCCAGTACCGTTGCGCTTAACGCCTGAAGCAGCGATTCTCGCTTCGGGTGCTAACGGTAGCAGTAGCAGCTGCACAACCTTGGGAGATGACGATCTGCAACATTCTGCAGCGTCATTAGTGCAACGACCTCTCGCAAAGAAACCATCTGCAGCTCCCGAAGACGCTGTCATCGTGACTCCTAAAAAGGAACCACCACCTCCACCGCCACCCAGACCGTACAGAACACATGCGCGCAGTTCTAGTCTCGATCTTAATAAATTAGGTATATTATTAATATATATTATTCAAACTTCACGATATTACAATTATATGAAATCCAAGTCTTATGCTATGAATTTGCATATTTTGATAGGAAAAAATGGTCAAAGTTTTCTTGGAGCGCCGCCGCTTGTACCACCTAGAATCTCTCCAGGAATTGTAAGTTTCTTGTATACGACAAAATTTTCTTATATTTTTAAAGAGTTGAATACTTTATTCTACATATCTTGTAAAAAATATTATAACTTTCTTTAAATATTTTTTAAGTCAGGGATTATAATGATTCGTTTTTGTTGCAGACTTCGCCTCGTAAATTGGTCGGCCAAAAGAGTGAGGGTGAAGGACAAAGAACGTTAAGCGAAAGTCAAGCTTTTGTCGCCGATTTCTCTCATTTTTCTCCTAAGAGTGAACTGCCTGAAAATACGTTATCATCTATAGAAAACACGATACCACAATCTCAACAATTCACTGGAGTCTGTGGAGCATTTCATATTTATAGAAAACCGAGTCCAAGTAAGAAATTATTTATAAGTTTAAATATATGATTTTTTTTTAAGTATTAAAGATACTTCTAAAATAGATGCCTCAATCTATTTTTTCGATCGTATCTTTATTTTCCGTAATTATTATATGCTTAATAATTAAAATGTAATCCTAATAGAACGAGATGGTGGCGAAGAAGAGAATAAGAACGAAGAGGATGAAAAGAGGTTAACCTTACAAGAATTAAGAGAAAAGAATGCGGAACTACGCTTAGTCTGCGAAGAACTGACACGTGAATTGGCTAGCGCACTTCAAGAACGTATAAATCTGCGTGCAAAACTCTTGCTCTTGACTTGATGTGATTACTGTTCGCTGTCATTTATTTGCTCGAAGTTACGAGGTATTATATCTCTTCAAATCATTGTGAACATATGTATTTAATATGTTATGCTAGTCTAGAATTCCTTTTTTCCCAATGAAGTATTCATTCACATTCATAACGATCAATATAGACAGACAGAGATGCGGCAGGAGACGCGATTTACAAAAAGAAATATTGCATAGATATTTTATACTTGAGATTGAAAGAATGACTATGACATTATGAATCATGTATATACAAAACTGAGATTACGATCTCTAAATTGATATATAACAAACGAATTTGCTTTTATCAAGTTTACTAGCTATTATTCACATTTATATGTAAAAGTGTTAAACTATTCATTCTAGTTTAAAACCTGCGTTATCGAATTCCTCCCTGTGATTTATTGACTTATATACTATATTTTGCATTGGAACTTCCTTTTTTATCGCTATGAATTTATATATATTTCCAGTATATAAATGCATCTATCATATCGTTCTATCTGAGTAGATATTTAAAACTTCTGATTGTGATTTCTATGCGCAAAAACTTGTTAACTTTGTTAATTTTATAAGGATTGTATATTTCATATTCTTCTGTAAACTGATGAATCTCTTCTAAAGAGCTTTGTTCGCCATAAACGAAACTATAATATGTATTTTGAATCGTATTTGTAAAAACGAATAAGTTATATTTATTATTTGCAACAAAATCGAATTGTATTTCGAACTGAATTTTCGTACTATATAAAATTTTTACGAAAAAATTGACTGAGAAATGGAATAATCAGGATTGTTACGAAGTTATATTTTATTCCTGATAACCTATAAAATGCCTGTTAAACATTGAAGAAAGATATATACGAGAAAAAAGTGGAATCTGCAGGAACAGAATACTTCAAAAATAAATTTATATAGATATATGATGCTTATAATCAATTCATGTTGAATACATCGATTTTGATGTATTCAACAAGCAATTCTTTGAAATGATTATAGCAATTCCTATTATTATTGCTATAAGTTGCAACCCAAGGTCTGAGAAGAATATAGATCTATCAAAGTCACGTCCGCAAAAGTTATTCGATAAAAATCGAGTTAATATAATAATCGTCATTCATAATATCTAATAATAGCGATTACTCATTAGATATAGAATTGCTTTATAGAAAAAAATTACTATTATTTAAATAAAATTTTCTAACTTCCTGCTTTTTAAAATTTTGATCTTAAAAAAAACTAAATTCTCGATTAAAATTCAATCTCCGTGGCTCAGCTCTATATAAATCTCAGCACATTATTTATAAATCGTTATTTTTATCCGATTAAATATATATTCATTCCTGATTAACGTTAAGACCATCACATTTTCCAAATTTTTACTTTGTTTTCTTATAAATAGCGGATAAATCAATTTGCCAAGCGACTGTCGTTACTATAAATAACTCTTTGTGCCATATAACGAAATTTTGAAATACATATATTGTAATCAGTAATCGTCTTGTCAAATATTACGAGACTTAGAAATAAAGCTTGGAAAATCAACGAGTCATGCAACAAAGATTTTTTTGTAACTATATAATAGATACTGCGTAAAAATTATAGAAAAATTAATACTTATATCAGAATACTTATATCAGAATTGTCTCTGATTTATTGTCTGCAGTCCTGTATAAAAGAAATGTAACAATATTGTAATGTAGAATACATATACAGAAGTGTCTGTCAAGTATGAATAAAAAAACTACTTTAGTTTCATAACAATTTTTATTGATGTCATTGTGTGAATGGAAAAATATTATGCAAAAGAAAAAAATTAGAAATACTTGTAACACATCTCTTGAATATGAATGAATGAATGATGCAAGTTAAGTATTGCAACTGCAATTCTATACAAATACGCCGATTAATACAGTAAAACTTCCGTGGTGATGTACTGTGATGAAATTCGATGAATAAAATCGCGATAATAAATTTAATACAACAGAATCAAAATATCATCCTATTGTCATACACACTTCTGATTTTATATAATGTTTACTTTGTGACACTGCAGGCTCTACTGTATAATACTCGAGTTAGAATATTTATATTTGTTTTATTAGCAAATTGACTGTAATAATACGAGATAAATACGTAGTTTAGTTATGAACATTATATATATAGCCTGTCTTTTTTTTCATGTTTCAATCACCGACGAATAGATATTACTTTATCTAAAATTCTATTAATTGTGCGAGAATGTACGTTCTAACATCCTTTATATAATATTTTGGATAAATTCCTGCTAGAAGTTAATAATGACGCCGATTAATACAGTGTTTCTTACATCAGTTTTTTTTTACATGATATGCTCCACACAGTGACTTCGTACGGCGAGGCCGGAGCTAGGAGGACACAGATGAACAATCGACTTCTGAATACTATTTAGTTGTCCTTGGTTTGCATGAACTTGATCAAGTCGATGACTCGGCTAGAGTAACCGAACTCGTTATCATACCACGAGATCAGTTTCACGAAGTTATCGTTTAGAGGAATGCCAGCCTTGGCATCGAAGATGCTGGAGTGGTTGTCACCAATGAAATCGGACGAGACAACGTCGTCCTCAGTGTAGCCCAAAATACCCTTCAGAGGACCATCAGCAGCTTCCTTCACTTTGGCTTTGATAGCGTCGTAGGAAGCGGGCTTGCCGAGTCGGACCGTCAAGTCGACCACGGACACATTGTGCACGGGTACACGGAAGGCCATGCCAGTAAGCTTCCCGTTGAGAGCGGGAATGACCTTGCCAACTGCTTTGGCAGCTCCAGTTGCAGCGGGAATAATATTTTGTGCTGCACCACGGCCGTCACGCCACAGCTGTTACCAGAAAAGCATAATAAATGTGTTATATAACAATAATCTCAAATGATCTCTCTTGCTAAATAGCTGTGCATGATATACACCTTGCCAGAAGGTCCGTCAACGGTCTTCTGAGTGGCTGTAATCGCGTGTACAGTCGTCATGAGACCCTCGATGATCTCAAAGTTGTCGTGGACCACTTTGGCGAGAGGTGCTAAGCAGTTTGTAGTGCACGAAGCGTTGGAGACAACCTTGAAGCTTGGATCGTAAGCTTCCAAGTTTACACCGACGACGAACATCGGCGCATCAGCTGATGGGGCGGAGATGATGACTTTCTTGGCACCGCCTTCCAAATGAGCCTGCAAATGCATTAAAAAAAAACATTAAATTCAGATGTACTAGAGAATTCTGGAAGTATGAATTTTGTTTTGTTTCACATACGGATGCTTTCTCGATGGTCGTGAACACGCCAGTCGATTCGACGATGTACTCAGCGCCAGCCTTCGCCCAGGGGATTGCCTTCGGTTCGCGCTCGCTGAAGACGGCGATCTTATTTCCGTTTACAACCAGACAGTTGCCTTCGGCTTTGACTTCTCCTTTGAACTTGCCGTGAGTGGAGTCATACTTGAACATGTAGACCATGTAATCGAGACCGATGAAGGGGTCATTGATGGCGACGACCTGATTGACATAGATCTCAGATTAGTAAAACAAATATGACTTAGCTAATTTTGTGGAATTGTCTTCCTTTCATACCTGACCACCGCGCTCCAGGGAAGCCCTCAGCACGAGACGGCCGATACGACCAAATCCGTTGATTCCGATTTTGCTCATGTTGTCTTGAGTGCAACTGCAAAATCGGCCAAGAACGTTACTAGACATTATGCAATAACCATGCGCTCTCTGCGTGAATCTTGCAATCAATGAAATTGGTGGAATCATGTGAAATACATGCGAAAGAATCAGTCTCATCATTAAGAATTATAATAAAAGAATTGGATGTTAGGTTAGAACTAAATAGATGTGTGACATATGATCCATTTGCTTCCCCGCTTTCCCCAATTTTCAGAATATCAATCACGTTTCAAGGATACTTATAAATATCGCATACATGAAAGTTGATATTGATCACGTAGACGTAACTGAAAACTATGCTACCAACGCTTTATCGTATCAGTCTATTAGTTTATTTTATTTTATTAATCAAACATCATACTGTAGAGAAATCGTATTATCAGTATTCTATATTTAAGATTGAATTTATTTTTCACCAATGGACAAATTAAACAAATCTTTCCCGTATATTATTTATTGCTAAAAATACAATGGAGTTATAAATGTAATGCAACGGAATTATCGGAGTTATAAATGTAATGAATTTATCACAGATGCTTATATAATGCGACGTAAATATAATTTAGTCTTGAATGTATCTTTGAGAATATAGCTGAGATGAGAACAGGCTTGGCATAAGCCTCGACGGTACGATATATGATTGGGCACCGGCGAATCTTATAGGTCAGACAAGGTTAAAGGGGTGTGTCTCGAGTTCCTCGACATCCCGGCGTCCCTGAAAATGATCCTAACCTTGCGTGCGTGAGATTGTCAGATCGGCGGCTCGATAAAGCTGACGTAAATCGTCGCGCATCGCGATGCAATATCATGCAATTTCATTCCTGACGTATATAATTTACATTAAAAAAAATCTATTTGGACTTTTAACAACTTTGACTAAGCCTCAATTAACTATTTAATCGATGTCTGCACTATTTAACAAAAATTGAGTTACTACTTTTTCTTCTTGGTACATGAAAGAAAGATTAGATTTATTAAGGAATAAATAAAAAAAGTTCTGTTATAAAAATTAATCACCAATTGAGTTAATCGAAATTTAGTCGAAATTATCCTTATTATTCAAATGCATAGAAATCGAAAATTACGATATTTATAATTTTGCGCAATCAATTTTTTATAACGAAAGCGTAGTCTATTTTTATAACTAATGTTGCAATATATATTTTAATCGTATTTGAGAAAAATTACGATAGTTCGATATTTATTTATATAATTAAAAACAAACCGGTTTTTCTGTCACATTTAAAATCTTCTTTTTTATAACAAAATTATGTTTATTATACAAAACAATAATTAAAACAATAATTCCTAATAAGCTTCTGAAATATAACTGATTAAAAATATATGTCTGAAGATAGAAGTATAGCTGGACCTAATAAATAATAAGAAACTATCAAATCATATATATGAAATAAATTTTATATAATATTTAACAGTTCAACAGTTAAAATGGAAAATTTTGAATCCAAATCGTACAAAATCAATGATATAATAATGCAGTACATTTAATGCACATAACAATAATTAATTTTATAGGATTAATGCTTATTAATTGTGGATTTTCATCAATATAAATCAACTTTAATGTCATTTATCTTATATACTCTTCATTTTTTCTAATTCTTTAAAGAAAGTTGAACCGATATTAAAGTTAATCCTACATTAGTGGAAGCAGATAGAAGAATGATATTAAAACAGTTCAATTTTATACTTATATCATAAATTGCATTGATTCCATTCAATCAATGACTGAATAATTTCTTGAAATTATGTTCAAGACTATTTTAAATATAAGTTCAAATGCCGTTTCGACAATACTCTGTTAAAGTATGCCTTCTAGTCATACGTGTGATATAGCTCTTATTACATCGTAATCAGACGTTAGTATAACCGTATAATTGTTGAGCGATAATATTGATCGCGTGAGAACCGTCTAACGATTGTCATCCGCATCATCAAATGAAGGGATTCTGTCGAATTTCAAAGAGCGAGTTCGAGCGTCATGGACGGCAAGAAAAAGATATCACACCATCCAGTCGTTACATCTCCTCGACTTTCCCACATCGCGTTTCTCAAAGGCTTCTTTGCAGAAATATAGCCGAAACATTCTGCAGCTGCCACGACAATAACTGCCTGGTCCAACCGACGTCACGAGAAATGGCCGGTGCGACTTATACCGTGGGATGGCAGACGCGATTTGTGATTACGTATCACATATAATATTCAAGTCAAAAAATGACGGGCGAATGAACGATTAGCAACGGATGATGATAATGGGTTCACTAGGAGTAGGGAGAGAAAGAAACAGATAAAACGAGAGTATACTTAAAGTAGAAAAGATACTCACTGCGTACCGAAAAACCAGTTCCACTCGCTCCGGCTACTAACGAAGTAGTGTCATTTGAAGGGCACGGATGCGATAATATAAAAAACGGTGCTTCGTGTCTACTCGTCGACGCTCGGAAGCCCACGTGACTTGATTATCGATTGTCGACATGTTGACGCGCCGCGAAGTTCAACTGGATACCATGTCGGTATTGTCGGTATCAATAGAAGTTTTTAATAATAATTTTTTAACTTTTTTGATTCTTTCAGATCTATTTGCTGCTGAATCTATTTATTATTAATGCAATAAATATCAACAATTAAGTGTTATGCCTATTTTTTAATGTGAATTAATTTTAATCTCAGTTCAACTTATTCTTCATCTTTTTCTAATTAATCTAGATTGTTAGATATTGATAAAAATGAGCAGAAACTGTTGTTATTTATCACGTTAATGATAAGTAGAGTCCCTTCAGTGGCAAATAGACTCGGAAAAAATCGAAAGAGTTAAATTACTTTGAAAAAAATCTTAGAATTAAAAAAAGATAGAGATAAATCGAAATTAAAATTAAACTACAATTGATAGAAAGTATTATACATGTATATTATATATTAAATAAATGTATTATTTATTTCAAAATATAAATAATATATATTAAATATATATAAATTTAAATACATTTTATTTTAATATGTATTCAACATATGTGTACAAACTAATTTTATAAAATTCTTCTTACGCAACCTATAAAATAAACAGACTTGCTATTAACAAGTAAATATAACTTATATAAAAATCTATATTTAAATATTTAAATAAACAAATGTAGCAATTAAATTATAAATAATAAAATTTCGAAGTAAATTGTAAAGGATATTGTATATATGTATATTACGACAAGATATTGTCAAATTTGTTTATTGTTTAATTTTTCTTTCTAATATTATAGAAATATAGTTGCATAAATTATAAGATGTTTATTCGTGAGAATTGAAAATGGAATATAATTGCATCAATTGCGTGTATTATAATTTTAATTTTGATAAATTGTTCCTATTCCTAATCATCACCATGCTCAAGAACTTGTTCTTTTACAGGAATATTGCCGAAATCGGCATTATACATGTATTGAACCAAATCGGCTATACGATACGCGTAACCATATTCGTTGTCATACCTGAGGAAAGATAATTTAAGGAATTTTAATCGAAGAAATATCGCATTTTTTACTTGTAAATATATATTATATATCGGGAGTAGATTGCATATTTAAGATATCATAAATTATGTCGGAATTTATAAATTTAATTAATGATGTCGACGGAGTTATTACCAAGCAACGATCTTGATGAAAGTACTGGTCTGCGGAATGCCTGCCTTGGCATCGAATACGCAAGAATAAGTCGTATGGTTAAAGTCCGACGACACGCAATCGTCCTCCGTGTATCCCAGCACGTCTTTCAGTTGTCCCTCGGATGCTTCTTTCATCGCCTCTTTCACTTCTTCATATGTCACCGGTTTATTAACCCTGAATGTCGCAAATATCAAAAACTCTTCCAGTGACACATACAAAACTCGAATTTAATATCGAATATAGTTTAATTTCGATCAAACGTAAGTTGCGTCAATGAAATTTAATATATATATAGTTGCCTGCGAAACCGCGTGATTTCTTCCCTGGTAAAAAAAGATAGAGAAAAATCCTAACGATTTGAATATGGAATCTGGTTTGTGAATTCAGTAATTTGAATCAAATCTTATAGGAATTTTGTACAAAATCGATTCTTATAGAACCGATAAAATACTGATAAAATAGGATTCATCAGGATTCATATCCGACTAATCGTGATGCTCGTGAAGTCGACGTTAAAAGAAAATGATATAAACTTATATATAGAAAACGATATAAATTGATAGAAATCCTATTGTTCTCAATCGTTTTCCATCAACTTTTTTTACCAGGGTTACATTAGCAATTGGCTAATAGTATTAAATACGTCGTCGCTGGATTTTACGCCAGTCGGCCGGTAAACTCAATGCAATTCACATCCGCTAATTACCTGAATGTCATATCGCATAATGAAACGTTGGGAATTGGTACCCTGAACGCTATGGCTGAGATCTTGCCTTTCAGCTCGGGAATAATTTTGGCTAATGACTTAGCCGCGCCGGTTGCGGTCGGAATGATATTTTGGAGAGCGCCTCTACCGTCCCTCCACAATGCCGTAGGTCGATGCTGCGACATAATATAATTGTTCAAAGCATGAAACTTTTATAATGATTATTTACAGGCTCTTTAAAATGTGATGCTGCGTAAGCGTGAATAAATAATTAAAAAAGAATATGGACATGTTCTATCGTGTTAGGTACGTAGTTACAGAATAGTTATATATATATATATATATATATATACAGAATTGAAAATAACTTTGGATCAAAATAATTATATAAAATGTTCAAATGATTGCTGGTACTTTTTGTAGTTTTGTTTATCATGTTTGAGATTTTTAGATAATTATCTTGATATCCAATTTTTATTTTCAGATCTGTATTTAGATAAATTTTTAGATATTTTAGCAAAATCATTCTTTCTGTGTGAACAATCGAAAAAGCATATATTTATTGTTATATTTATTTTTCATCATGCACATTCGAATAAAAAAAAAGGAGAACTCATTTTTTAAATAGTAGTCATTAACAAACAAGACAAGTCGTTATTAACCTTTTCTATCGGACCATCCACGGTATTTTGACATGCTGTCATTGCATGTATGCTGGTTATCATCGCCTCGAGAACTTCAAAGTTGTTATGCATGATTTTGACAATTGGAGCTGCGCAGTTTGTAGTACAGGATGTAGCAGAAATGACATTGTCTCTCTTGGGACTGTAACAAGTGTGATTGACCCCGAAAACGAGCATCGGTGCATCGACCGACGGTGCAGTGATAATAACTTTTTTAGCGCCGCCATCGATGTGCAACTGCATAATTGTACCATTTTTATTTTTAATACAAATACATTAAATCGATATAATTGTATGATATCAGATGCTACTTGTACTAAAAGAATTAGAATAGTATAAAAAGATTTATTTAAGTCCAATATAATGTGTGTGTGTGTGTGTGTTTTTTTATGTGTGTTGTGATAAATATATTAATACGTAACTGTTTAAAAGAAAAGTCAATATTTTTTCTTTTATTTCTGAATTTCTGGCAAATCAGTAGTTTTCCAGTTTCCACATTTTACATGGATCCTGTTGCAATAAAAAATTTAAATCTTACACTTGCTTTCTCTAGAGTTGTGAATGCTCCGCTAGCTTCTATTACGTACGTCACTCCCTTATTCTTCCAAGGTATTTTCCACGGTTGCTTTTCTTGCGACGTGGCTATTCTTGTCTCTCATTGAATAACAATATTTCATGATATTTTATACAAAGAAATATAATATTTATATTAAATATTCTTAAAAGTTAAATTAAATAAAAAATAAAGAAATTAAAATTTAAATATGAAATATAAAAATTTCTTCGACAATTATAAGAATTACATGCTTTGTATTTTATCTCATAAAGATTATTAAGCTCTCTGTAATATTTATAAAATACAGATTACAAATTAAAATACAATTCAGTATACCTTTCTGATTTAATTTTTTGAGTATAGTGCAATTAAAATTGTATTTACCACCACTAATTATAATAAACTCATTATCGCACTCCAAAGGTAAAGGATATGACCCATGGGTAGAGTCATGTTTAAAAAGATATATCATATATTCAGTTGTGAGAAATGGATCGTTGATTAATTTTACCTGTGATAGATATTATTATATTATTATTTAATTTTTAATTAGTAATACATTAATTGTACTTGTACTTCACATAATGAAAAACTTGCTTCAATATTTTTTTCAAGGCAAGCACGAAGGCACATTCTTCCTATTCTTCCAAATCCATTAATTCCTACAATTGCCATAATTTTATACCTATTTTAGACTAATACATTATTAAAGAAAAAGAAAAAAGAGATTTAAGAATTTTTAATGACATTTTGTCAAATTGTAAATAGTGTGAAGCTTATCACAAAACTTAAATACAACGATTTTCACTTTTCTACTCCAGGGAAAAAGTCATGTAATCGATACCGAGCTAATAAAAGCTAGATACTATAATAAAAGTTAGGGGACCCGCACACATTTTCCATAAGAATAATCGTAAGATATCGTTAGATTTAATCAATTAGAGTTTTTGAAAGTGTTTTTGAAAATTCTCGTCTGATTGACTAATTCTTACGTTATGTCTTACGTATTTATTATTTTAAATATAACTACACTTCTGACTTATACTTCTTATTTAAGTCCGATTGTTCCACCTTTTGATAAATTTTAGCTGTTGGGTAAGTAACAAGATTATCCAATTACATGCGCGGATTGCCAGATTTACCTAATAGATAAAATTTATCAAAAAGAAACAATCGGCCCTTACCATGTTTTAAATAAGTTTTCTCGAATCTATTTTATATTTTTTATATTTTAAATAAGTAATAATTATTCGTATCAGTTTTTCATCCATTTCTATGATTGTATATTTTAAATAAGTTTCTGAAATTTATTTTATATATATATTTTTTAAAGTCATAACAGTTATTTTACCGAGCTATGATTGGTATTATACGTAAGTTTAAAGAATTTTTAAAACATAGAATAATTTGCAGCAACAGTAGTGTCATAAATTAATTTTTTAGCTGAAAAATTAAATAATGAAAGATTAACAAGATATTGAATATTTTTAACCAAAGCTGTATTGAGCGCAAATTATTTCGCAATATATTAAGAAAATTTACATATATCTTTATAAAAGATGTATAGAATACTATCAATCTTTGTTTAAGTATAAATCATGTAAAAATATAATGAAAATTGAGATATAATGTATTGGAACATCAAAAATACCTCAGACACGCAAATAATTACCAATTACGATTAAAGGATTAAACTAGTAATGTCACAAAGCAAACGCGGAATGTACAACAATACTCGTTTGTAAAATATGAATAATTGAATAAATCGTGAATATTTTTCATACGCAATAATTGGATAAAACGGCGTGCAGCAAACAGCGAAAGGAAGGGGAGGCACGCTCCCCCCTTTTCGTCACACGGCAAAGCGAGGGGGAGCGTACCATCTGGCGCGCAGCACGGTGGTTGACTACGTCATCACTTCGGCATTCGCTCGGCGACCTCGAAGGGAGATGGATGTGTTTTACGTCGTTCCGGATGTCGCATTAATCCACGACGGATGATATGATATCTACGAACGCTAATTGATAAATCAAATAGTAAGATCAAAAGTAACTCTTTTATCTTTTTTATTTCTTATATCTTTTTTTTATATCTTTTTATTAAAAATATATATATTTTAAATACGACCGAGCCCCATATATCAATATATATCAATAATTTGATTTTATATTATGTGAAATAAATTCCAATTAGTATCTCATCGCGGAATTATTTATATCGATGTTCTCAAAATTCAGCAATTTTAGTGGCGCGAGTGAATGTTTAATGTGATACCGTAATTATATTGTCGTACTGAAAAACTTTAGTATTTATTTTATAGTTTCAAATATTTCGTATGAATTGCTTAATGTGCTGACGGAGAGTAAAAAGTAAAAAGTTTTTTTTTACATAATTGTTCACTTAAGCGTTTTTATTGCTCTCTGATGATTTACAATTAAATAAAGATTAATAATAAGTTATATATTCTTTAAATAAAGATAAATGCAAACACCTTTTTTAAATTATAATATAATTTGGATTGAATATAATAATGAGTACAAATATAGCATTTCCGGGAAAAAATGTTACATATATGGAAATATTTATATATGTATATAATTATATATAATTGTATATCAAATATGTCACTGCAACAAAGCCTACTCATCGAAGATGAATTTTAAAAATGTACCGACTAGATTAATAATTAACTGATTTTGTAATATTCGTTAATATTTCGACAGCTAGATGATCGGCGCGTGACCTTCGAGAATGTTTGGCGCGAAGGGGCGGGTGGCGCGTCACGTTTATGCGAAGTTACCGCGTAGTCATTTCATTACCGAGACTCGTACAAGCAGGTAATCGTGTCGCGTGTCACCCTTCTCCTTCTTTTTGAAACATAATCGCGACAAATGTTAGATAATATGAAATATACTTTATGAATACTCACAATATATGATTACTAGCACAATTAATAATTATTCATAAAAGAATCAAAGTGACAATTATATATTACGGAATAGATTTGTATGGTTCATTTATTTGGAATCAACATGCGATGAAAAAACAGAATTTATTACTATTTTGCGATAATTACGGACGACAATTATTTTTGTTAAATGTAACATTTTTATCTCGCTTGAATATAACTTGATTATTTTTTTAACAGTATCACACGAATTGCATTTTTCATGATATGATAAACAATTGAATGTAACTTTGAAATTGTTTGTCAGTAATAAAAAAAATATTCCTCTTGTATGTATTTTTAAGATCTTTTTTAGAAAATGTATAATTATTTTTATAAATGTCTAACTGAATGGTGAATTAAAAAATTCGATTCTCTTATAGAAATTATATATAATATTTAAAAAATTATATGATTATTATTCAATTATATGATTATTATATAATTATTCAAGATAACTTTGTGTTTAGTAAATATTTTTTTAATTTCTCAATTCAATTTTTTGCTTAAGTTTTTTTAAATATTGATTTTTTCTGCTCTGTTTTAATTGGGATTTCATATTCTTTTTGTTACAGAATCATCGTGGCGACATTGCAGATTAAAAATTCCATTGTTGCGCATCTGATTGGTAAGCGATAAATTAAAGTTTTTATTGAGGCAATAGATATATGATAATTTTATTAATTACTATATATCTAGATGCATTTTAACTAATTATCTATTAAATATTTTATTTTGCTAAATGTAGTGCATACATATATTTATAATAATATACAATATAATAAATTTGAAAAATGTATATAGTAATTGAGGGGATGGGCTGAATAAAGTCACAATTCTACTTAAGCCCTTTTTCCGGCAATTATCTTTTTTTGTATTATTGATCGTAATAGAAAAGTATTATAATATGTAACTTCTTAAAAACATTACATAAATTCATTCAATATGTATCCATTTATGTATAATAAAAAAACTAAATTATTTTAATTTTTATTAATATTAAGATTTTGTAATTAGATCTTTATTGCACCCATCTCCTCAATTATAAAAATAACTATTAAATTAGTTAGTTATAGCTAAGTTACAGTTAATAGTATACTAAGTTATAATTACACTTTTATATCTACACTGAGAAAAAAATATAGTCAATTTTAATAAATATTTAGTTCAATACTGCCAACTAAACATTTATTTACAGTAAAAACTATTTGTTTAGTAAAAAAAAAATTGTTTAAATCAAATTAACATTTCTTGTATTAAATAAATATATATGTTTATATTTAATAAATATTTAGTTGACAATATTCAACTAAATATTTATTAAAATTGACTATATTTTTTTCAGTATAGTTATACTAACTAATTCAGTATACTAATTTAATAGTTACTTTTATAATTTATCTTTTACGACATTCATTAAATCTATATTCAGTTCAATAGCTTGCTTTAATTTCTGATATAGCAAATCGTTGATCTAAAATTTAATGTTCCGCTAACTAATTATACAAGAGAATATAAAAATATATAAAAATGTTGTTTATCGAGACTCATTTTACAATATACTTCTCAGAATCACATTTAGTACCTGATGGGACAATTATATAAATCAATATTTATGGAGTTAATAGAGATCCCAATCTCTGACCAAATCCAGAATAGAATTTGATCCAGATAGAATCTATAAGTAATAATATTTATATAATATAATTTATAATTAATAATTATGTAAGCCTTATTAAAATTTTAAAATTGAATATCTAATATTAAGCGGGAATGCCTCATATAGCTTAGTATAAAATATTATGTAGTAATTATTTAAATTTGCTGAATAACATTATTTTTTGAAAATATTGGATGTTATATTATATGTAATTCTTTATATAAAATAGTAAATATTTAAATATTATACAAATTAACATTATTACTGGTAATACAAATCTTAGAATTTTTTATCTTTAGAAATGAGAATCTTGCATTTCATACAGATTTAACTCTTACAATCGATGCTCTAAATAGCAAGATCATGTTTTCTTGACGATAAAATATCAGAAACGTTATATTGACATCAATATGATGACAACTGCAGTAGAACTCGAATTATACAATATATTTTTCGATTCCCGCAGGTTATCTGATTTCGTGCTCTCTATAAACATTATAATAAAAGTCTGGCCAAAGCAGATCGGTCTTTTAACTGATCGCTTCTTCCATTCGGTATACAATTCCGATAGTTTCGTATATTTACGGAAAGTGAGAGAAAGTAAGAAAAAAGGGGAAAGGAGGAGATAAATAACTATATATCTGTTATTTTTATCCATTTCAAACTCATATTAAAGGATTTCTAATATCTATATATATTTTATGAAACAGCGCTATATTTGAAAAAATCAAGCATACCTAATGCTCCATCGGATCTCAATAACGAGCTTGAATAATCCGACAATTGAAAAATATGGTTTTGATAAATCCAAGTTCTATTTTCCTCGTCATTGGAAAAACGTCATTTTTATGACAAAATGAAACGTTTTTGATGACAATAAAATAACAAAATAACGTGATCTTACTGAAGTATCATTTAGGCTGCAGTCTACTTGCTTCTTCCAAATGTTCTGAACGTTGCGCTCTAAACGCTACGCTTAGATCCATTATTGTTTTAAATAAATATTATACAGGGTGTTTAATAAATGACGATAAATCTCTCGCATAGAGGTATAGGAATAAACTGAGT